ACGTTCATTCTAACCCGATGAGACTTTTGTTTGGATTTGCCCAACCTCGTCTTCTGCTGTAATTTTGGTTTGCCTCTTCCACAAATGCTATTCTATCTATGGTTTCCTCTTGGCCCTATGCATAAGCACTACCTTCCCGTCAAATCTATACCTTGCACTGACTTCCCTACAACAGTGGCACCAGTGACTCTACCCAGTTTCTTGTTAAACCAAATTTTCGAGACAAAACTTGCAAGTTCCTTCTACTTCGATTTACTCCATCTCTAACTCCATTTTGCTTGTTGTGATTCTGGCCATTTACTCATCCGCCCAAAATCACTCACATCCAGCTATGGCTCTCAATTCCAGTTCATGTCAGCCGGTTTCATGTTTGAACTAGCCGGATCTCATGCCGATTTCTCGGTTCCTGCAACTGCGATGACTTTTCATGTAATAAGCGTACCTGGCTAATTGTACATTCCTCCCCGTTTTGTTGTTGCCTGTCGTGTGCAGGTTGTAAACAGCCGATCATTCCCCAATCAGCAAGCTCCCTACAGGTTGGGAAATGAACCTGATATTATTTTTTTCAGCAGATATTGCCAACTGTTTATAACATCGCCCCCTTTTTGCGCACTTCTTAGTACCCACAAATCCCCCAACCATGCTTTATTCTGACTGTAAACGTATAACCATGCCTGACGGTATTCCACCCATATGTTGGGAATAAACATTATTATTATTAACTTTCTGTGTGCTTTGATCATCTTGCTCCAGATCATTTGCAATGTAATGGCATTCATTATCAAACAGCCCATGCTCGATCGCTACGCTAGTATACACCAACCCACCCCTATCCTGTCTCATTCAGTCAGTCATTCAGTTTTCATCACTCTGATTTTGGTAAACACTAAGCTTCTTTTCTTAGTGTTGCACATCACAATATCTGATGTCTCCCCAAACTCACCAAATTTTACCAGTCTCATTCCATTCCCTCACCTTACCATGCTTCGGTGTTCCTCAATAACTGATTCGAACGCCTCGTTTGGTTGGTATCCATTCCATCTAAACTTTGAGCAACACCCGAAGGATCTCCAATCGGACCAGTAAATACCTGCGATCTTTCACTGGCTTCGTTTTACCTCTGTGGATTTTCGCAGCCGAGGTGAAAAATCCCGCTTTTCAAAGAATTTCACATCCCACTCCAATGACTGACTATGACGTCCGTTACGGGGCTGTTGACAATCCGGAGTGTGTCAGGCCAACGATAGCACGGCACTGCCACACTCAGTTTGATATCACACCCGCAAATATCCTTTCCTACCCTCGGCCCTACTTCTTGCCCACTCGTTCGATTAACTGAAAACGGGAACAAAATCTTCACCCCAAAAACGCCCTCAATCAAATCCACTGAACCTTTTGTTCACATTTAGCTATTTCCGTGGACTTTCAGTCTGTGCTGTGAGTGCGGTCGCTAGGCTTCGTGGTGCTATACTAGCGTTGGTCCCAGGCTTTTGAAGGGATGCAATCTTGATGGTGTGAATCTCGCGTCAATGTCTCACAAATATTGTTTTACTGTAAATCAGGTTTATCCAAACCGGAGGCTTGTTTGCGCAGAATATTTGCTTCGGGTAAGCGCAGGTGCTTCTGCAGGCACAGGTCGGATTGCTGTCCGCAGTAATTTGAAAACGACATTTTGGTTTCAACATTCCAAGTGTTTGAACATTTTCGCGGAACCGCTTCTGTCCCTTTCCTTGGGATTTAAAGCGCGGTTTTTAATAATATTTCGTTGAGAGCCTCTGGCTGGCCGTTTGGTGCATCGAAAAACAAGGCAGTTTTGCTTTTGTTGGCTAATCTAAGAGTCCTGTTTCCCTGCACTGACTTTTAATTTGCCTCTGATCATCACGACCAGCTAAAGATAAGTCGAGATTCAAGCAAATTTTCCGAATTCAGAGACTTGTCCTCGTACTGACTGAACAAAAAAGAATGTCAAATTTTGACTGGTTGCGGCTAAAAGCCGTCAATTTGGCAAGTTAATAGGCACGACCATGCGTGGCTTCTTTTCTACTACCATATCCTGGCGCACAGGTACCGGGTCGGGTAACTTTTGTTTCGTGGAAATTTCGCAGAATTATTCTCGAGCTCCACTTCTGTAGTCCAGTAGTGGACCGATCTTCTCCCGTGGTCCTGCACAGCTGACCAACCCAGGTTTGAGGGATGTTATGGCAGGAGGGCCTTTTGTTTCGCACCAAATTCAGTGACATGGTGATTAGTAGGCGGGTCAGCTCAGCTCAGGCTGCTGGCACTCACTTCAAGCTCGGGCGTCTGTCAGCATTTTGCAAGCGGTCTCCGGAGTTTTCAGCGCAATGCTGCAATAGTAGGGTACATAGGTGAGTGTTCCTCAGTAAAGAGACGTGGACCATGTTGTTTGAGTCTGCTCAAGGTTGCGGTTTTGGTTGTCCGGTTTTGACTTTCGCTTCCAGTGGCGATTAGCATGACAAGGGTAGTAT